AGTGGTGAGTGAGTGAGTGAATGGTGAGTGGGTGAGTTGGGTGGTGAGTAGTGAGTGGGTGGTGAGTGGTGAGTGAGTGAGTGAATGGTGAGTGGGTGAGTGGGGAGTGGGTGGTGAGTCGTGAGTGCGTGGTGAGTGGTGAGTGAGTGAGTGAATGGTGAGTGGGGAGTGGGTGGTGAGTGGGTGGTGAGTGGGTGAGTGAGTGGTTAGTGGTGAGTGATGAGCTGAGTGGTGAGTGGGTGGGTGAGTGAGTGGTGAGTGATGAGGTGAGCTGAGTGGTGGGTGGGTGAGTGGGTGGGTGAGTGGGTGGGTGAGTGGGTGGGTGGGTGAGTGGGTGGGTGAGCAAGTGTGTGATTCAGTGAGTGGGTGGGTGAGTAAAATCGCGTAATATTATTTTGGATTCGGCAAATATGAGATTAACTATTTAACAAAGACTTGGTTTGACCAGGTGTAAGGCCCCCCACTGAGTTACGTAGCCTTTGTTCAGTAGCGACCTGGCCATCACCAAATGACAGCTCAACAAAGTGGCTTATCATGTTACAGCAGCCAAACCATCGCGTGGTGACGATGTTCATTCTAAATAAGGAAGGAAAAATCGGGGGACCCGGGGACAATTCCACGCAGCGACCACCACGGGGAGAGAGACGCAGACTCCAAATATACAGCAGGCGTCGTCAGGGTCGGGATCGAACCCACGACCTCCTGCGTACCGGGCGAGGTAGTCAACATCTCATAGCCCCTACGGTAAGTACCAAGCTGAAGAGCATGGTAGTTCTCGTGGTTTACCGGTTACCGGTTTACCGGGCACCGATTACGAGTTACCGGTTTCCCCGTTTCCTGGTTTCCCGTAGATCTGATTCGCACGTTTGGCTGTGTACGGTACTGTACACACTTACCCATTTACCATTTACCGGTTTACCAGCTTACCGGGTGACCGGCTTACAACCATATCCACACGGTGGTGGTGGTGGTGGCGGTGGTGGCGGTGGTGGCGGTAGTGATGGTGGTGAGCGTTCGTACCGAGCAGCACCAGGGTTTTCCGTTTGAATGCCGGCAACTTGACCACCTCCTCATAGGTCACCAGGTCTAGTTGGTCGAACACTGCAATGGCACAGAACACAGAACACGGTGAGCCAGACTGGTGAGCCAGACTGGTGAGCCAGACTGGTGAGCCAGACTGGTGAGTCAGACTGGTGAGTCAGACTGGTGAGCCAGACTGGTGAGCCAGACAGGTGGACCTAGACAGAGCCACGAAACCTGCCTCTCTCACTCACCCACACTCAACCACCCACCCACACTCAACCACCCACCCACACTCAAACCACCCACCCACACTCAACCACCCACCCACCCACACTCAACCACCCACCCACACTCACCCACACTCACTGACTCACCCTCACTGTACAGGACAGGGGTAGAAAGTACAAACTCCACTCAGTCACTCACTCTCACACACTCACTCTCACTCACTCTCACTAACTCACACACACTCTCACACTCACACACAAACACACACTCTCACACTCACTCACACTCACTCACACTATCTCACACTCACTCGCACTCTCACTCACACACCCTCACACACTCTCACACACTCTCACTCACACTCACTCACACACTCAACAAGAACAACAACCGCCATTCGCCACTAAGTAGCGGTGACGTCACCACAACACTTGTGCCAGGCCATGTGCACCTTGAGGCCACGTGAAGTGTCGAACGCCCACTGGCAGGAGGTCACGGGGCAGACCCAGGTGCCACGGGTCGACGGACTGAGATGACTGGCTGATGCACCACCTGTGCCCCCTACTGTGCCAACCTGCTGTGCTTTAGCCACCCGGCGCTCCGCTCGTTGTTGTGAGCGTCGCTCCTCCGCCCTCCGTTGTTATTGGAGGGCGACTGCCTCCAACTGCCCAGTAGCGTCCTTCATGAGCCTCCTCCATAGAGGCCGATCTTGACACCGCTGGTACCAGTCATCGGCAAGTCCACTCAGCTCCACGTCCTCCTGTACCACATCACTCCATCTCTTCTCTAGCCCGTGCCGCGCCTGTTTAGCCCCCTCAATCCGGCCGAACAAAAGCTGTTTAGGCATGCGGTGGCTGGGCATGCGGGCTACATGACCCAGCCAACGCAGCCTTGCCTGCCGGAGGAGCTCACCGATGGGACCTTGCCCAGATCTTTCAAGAATTTGTGAGCTCCTCCCACAATCCAGTCTGGTTAAACCCAGGATAGATCGTAGGCAGGCCAGCCTAAATGTTTGCAACCGGCGAAGATGTTCCATTAGGGGGGTCCACGTTTCGCAAGCGTAGAGAAGGGAGGGAATGACCGTGGCCGAGAAGACCTGAAGCTTAGTGCGGAGCGACAGACCAGGTAGCTTCCACAAAGCGTTACGCAACCGATTAAAAGATATTGCCGCTCGACTGATTCGGAGTGAGACCTCTGCTGCTAAACTGGAGCCGGTCATGAGCACACTGCCCAGGTATGGGAAACTCTCCACTCTCTCCACAACTGTCCCATCACCGATTGGGAGTTGTGGGGGTGGAGTGTCCGATGGTACAAAATACCCAGGCAGGTGCTTAGTTTTGATGGGGCTGATGGTAAGGCCCCATCTCTTAGTAGCACGCTCCAGTCTCAGCAGCAGCGTCTCCAACTCCTCCTCTGAATGAGCGGCTATTACCAAATCATCGGCATACATAACGTGGTTGACCAATAGGCAGCCAACCCTTGACCGCACCCGGGAATCGATCAGCCTCCCATTATATCTGTACCATATGGAGATTCCCCCGGTACAGCTATTGAAGGCTTCACGAACTACGTGGTCAAAATAGATGTTAAATAATGTGGGAGCAAGAGGACACCCCTGTCGCACCCCAAGGTGTACAGGGAATGGCTCTGACTCCCGGCCATGTAGTTTTACCCGGGCCTGCTCACCATCATGAAGGTCCTTAATGATCCTGAGCAGAGGGTCAGGTACTCCAAAAGCACGAAGAACAGCCCAGAGCCCAGGCCTACTGATGGTATCATAGGCCTTGACCAGGTCAATAAATTTCGATTTAAAGCTTTCGTGACTGCAATGATTCATCTTCTTTGGTTCTTTCGGTAAAGTCACGTAGAATGATAATAAAATAATAAATTGATAAAATAAAATAACACAATAATATTCTCACGACGTTTCGGCCACAACACAAGCGGCCTTCATCAGGTGAAGGGGGCGAGACTGTCTGGTAGGACAGCGCTGGAGTGAAAGAGCCACGTTCAGATACGGCCTTTAAGCTGTGTGAGAGGAACAAAGCGCCTTGACAAAGGAATTAGCATATAATTTAGCATTGAAATGGCTGAATGATTAGCTTGTGACTGGTCACAGAAATAGCTATGTTAAAAGTTAAAGCATACACACCCGCAGAGGCACCCATTGTTAAAGGAATTAGCATAGAATTTAGCATTGAAATAGCTAAGTTAAGGCATACACATCTTGACAATGGAATTAGCATAGAATTTAGCATTGAGATAGCTGAGTGATTAGCTTGTACCTGCTGCAGAAATAGAGCTTGTACCTGCTGCAGAAATAGCTACGTTAAAGTCAGAGCATACACATTCACCGAGGCCCTTAGTACAAATCAAACAGGAGAATTTAGCATTGAAATAACTAGGCGAATCCAGCATTGAAACAACTGAGTGATTAGCTAGTGACTGGTCACAGAAATGACTACACATCTGAGCTATTCACAGTACTATATAGTGAACCAATAAAAACTAAAATATAAATTATCTTCATGTTATCAATAAACTCTATATTCTCCAATCAGCTAAGCTACCAACAATAAGTCGTTATATATCACAATGCTATATGGCGAAAAAATGGGTGGATTCTTACCCTCAAATTTCAGCACCACGGATAGCTACGGGCCCCGTTCAGACGGACGAGTTCGTCCATGGTCGGAACAGAGGAGGGGGAGAGAGACAGCTGCGAGGCCCTAGTATGCTCCATGTTGTAAAACTATACCATTAACCGTGGTGTGAGAGGTATTAAGAGGCAATGCTGGCGAAAGAGCTGCGGTCTGAAGGTCATCGTAAAAATACAATTAATTAAGAACAGAAATGATTTAAAACATCTTTCCAGTGGTTACTAAGCCTGAATCCATCTTCTCGGTTGAAATTGTCTCTGTGCTTGTATATGTGAATGGCCTCATGAACGAATCTCTCATGGTAGCCGGTTGGTTTGCAAAGAACCTCCGTCTTGGAGAAGTCAATGTCATGTGAGCCCACTGAATTATAACAGTGATCTGCCACGGCAGAGGAGTTCGTCCTACCGTGTTTCAAGTCTGCTTTGTGTTCGCGGATGCGGTCCGAGATATGTCTTTTGGTTTCTCCAATGTAGCTACTACCACAGAGGCACTTTAGTTTGTAAACGCCCGGGTACTGTATGTCTGGAACAGCATCTTTTACAGATGGAACTAAATCACGGAATTTATGTACTGTGTTGAATCGGACCTGGATCTTGTGTTTGTTCAGGATTTTGGAGATCTTTTTAGTGACCCCTGCAATGTAGGGTAAGGTGATGGTTTTGAGTGGCTCCACAAGAGGATCCTTCTTCATGACTGGAGTGATGGCTTTGCGGATTGTGTAGTCGGAGTAGCCATTAGCCCTGAGAGCCTGGTGTACGTGCTTGAGTTCACTGGTAATGTGTTCCTGGTCGGAAATGCATTGGGCTCTATGGTATAGAGTCTTGATGAGGGAGTTCTTCTGGGATGGATGGTGGTGGGAATCCGGTTTCAAGTAAGCATCTGTATGGGTAGCTTTCCTGTAGACAGAGTGGTTCATTGAACCATCATGTCTTCTTTTAATTAAGACATCCAAAAAGGGTAGTTTGCCATCTTTTTCGTCCTCCATGGTAAATCTGATGGCTGGGTGTATGGAATTGATGTGGTCGCGGAATTGGTCTAGAGCAGGCTGGCCATGTGGCCAGATGACAAAGGTGTCATCAACGTACCTCTTCCATAAGGTCGGGCGTAGAGTGGCAGTCTGGATGGCGTCAGTTTCAAATTTTTCCATGAATACGTTGGCTACAACCGGAGATAGGGGGGAGCCCATTGGGGTGCCCTCAGTTTGTTTGTAGAAAGTTCCATTCCAGGTGAAGTAAGTGTTGGTTAAGCAATGTCTCACCAGGGGGGGTACATCAGTATGCAGTCCTTGATGAACCAGGTCTTCAATGATAGCGATGGTGTCAGGTACCGGGACTTTGGTGAACAAGGACACCACATCAAAACTTACAAGCAGGTCGTTTGGGGACAGGGAAATGCCTTTGATTGTCGATACCAGGTGAGTAGAATTTAGTACCGCAGAGGTGGTTTTTCCAGTGAAAGGTCGCAGTATATCAGCAAGAAAACGTGCCAGTTTGTAGGTGGGGGAGCTGATAGTAGAGACAATGGGACGAAGGGGTGTATCTTCTTTGTGTATCTTTGGAAGGCCATATAATCTTGGTGGTCTGGCAGCAGAGGGCTTCAACGAGAACTGTTTGATCTCATCAATTAATGCTGTTGAATCAGAGATGATTTTGTTCGTTTTGGTGACCAGGCTGTTGGTGGGATCTCTTTTTATTTTTGTGTAGCTGCCATCGTTGAGTAGTTCTTGAATTTTGTTGTTATATTCTGTTTTGTCCATGATGACAGTGGCATTGCCTTTGTCGGCTGAGAGGACGACAATATCATCCCTATTTTTTAATTGAGATAATTCAAAACGTTCGTCTTTGCTGATGTTGCTGGGTGGCAACTTAGCGTTTTTGAGGGTTGCAGCGATTTCAGATCTTGCTACGTCTGCAGAGATGTGACTCAAGCCCTTGAGTGCAACGTCGACATGGGCAATGATATCATTAACCGGTAAGTGTCTCGGTGTGACAGCAAAGTTTAGACCTTTAGCTAAAACGGATTTCAGACCATCAGAAATGGAACTGTTACTGCGATTAATTACGACTTTGTTGACGTCTATCTTTTCGGTGTGTGGATCCGATTTTTTGCTGGAGAGGTGATTGAATTTGGAAATCAAATTGTCCCTACATTTGTTCGACATAGTGGCAGCCGAAGAGGTAGTCATATTGT